GTGAGAAGCAGCAGACGCTGGCCAGAGACCTGCTCTTCCTCTGCTGCCACCTTGCTCAGGAATGGTGCAGGTTTTAGAGCTAAAACACCCAGTGAAACATAAGACGAGCCCCTCTCCGAGGCGACACCTGTCAACTCCCTGCTTCCAGTGGACCTGAAAGTAGTGCATCACAGACACGGGGCCAGCCACACAGAGTTAGCAGCAGTCCAGCTGGTTCTGTGCCGGACAAGTTTTGTTAAAAGTCACACCTGCCCCTCCCTATGCCTGTGCCCCTATATTTCCCTCATTTAATAAAACAGCAGACTTGTGTATTTGGAGTGTGCCAGGGGGCACAAAAAAAAAAAAAGAAAAAAAGAAAGAAGAGAAAAAAAACAGAAATAACAGAAAATAATCAGGATATCCAACAGAGCAAGTCATTTGAGATTATAGGCTATTTATTGGATGTGAATATGCAATGGAGCAATCAGATGTATTTCCACATTGGGCTCTATGGCTTAAATCAAACTTGAAATGGAGTCAGAAAACCTCCTAACATTAATGTTGATTATGAATGTTAATTAATGACTGAAGTCAATGACGAGAGGGCCTTGGGCAGTACTGATGCCCACTGGGCTCTATACAAATTTCCAGCCCAATAGATGGCCCCTGCCCATGGGGGCAGCTCAGTCCATGAAAGAAAAAGTAGTAGTTCATCTCATCAGGCTCCGGCCACAGCAGTTGGAGGCCTAGCTGTTCACACCTTCTCCCCCAGGAAACTGGATTCCTCTCTAAACTGTGCCTTGGGTGCTGAGGGGCAGGCCTGGGCGCACGCCCTCCCCTGCAGGGTGGCCCAGGTGCAGCTGCAGCCGGTGCAGCCCCACTGTGGACCCGCAGCCTTGCTGCCTTCCGGCTGCTGCAGGAGAGCTGCAGGGCTCCTGGGTGGACCAGCGTTAGCAGTAGTGGGAATGGAGCGGCGTCCGAGCCTCTGCTGCTGTTTATAATGGCGACGTGGAGAACACACTGCGGGATGCCCAGCACCGTTCAGGACAGAGTGGCTCTGAGGGTTCTCCTGTGACAGCCCTCCTCACCCCCAGACTACAGCTTCTGCAACAGGTACCCAGGCCCGGGAGGGAAGAGTGCAGCTGTCAGGCCCAGCAAGATTACACGGAGAGAAGGAAAGAAGTCAAAAGCTTCTTAAAGGAAAACTCAGATTGGACATGGGTCAAGGTGGCCGGGAATCTCCTCCCCAGGGAGTTCCTCCTTCAAGAGCACAGCGAGCTCCCTGGATGAGACTCATGGAGACGGGGCTTTGCCCAAGCAGAAATTCTTAGAACCCTAAGAGCTCTTCCACCTCCGCTGCTCTCAGCTGCTGGCCATGGGCCTGGGGACCTCTATCAGGAGCACCCAGCATCCTCCACCATCACCTTCTGATGGAGAATCGGATCATTCACACAGAGGGGATTTGCACCTGAGCTCGTGACGGCTATTGGAAAAGCTATCAGGATGCCTGGGTGGCTGCACAGCTTGGGTTTATCTGTTCTGCTGTAAATACTGCGTTCCAGATTTAGGAACATCAAAGAACAGACACTAAAATCATGCTGACCTATAATTACTTCTGGGATCCATTAATAAGCATGTCAGACTGATTAATACCTACTGTAAGAATCTGGTAGTAAGTTTTCTTTGCATATTAGATATAAATACTAAAAGCAATCTTAATAGTCATGATGTATGTAGTACTTAAAAATTATCTGTAGCCTTCAGTTAAAATACTTTATATCTTGAAAGACTGAAGAAGATTGACAGTAAAATCACTATATTAAGGGATTTGTCCAAAAGAAACACTGTGGCCTTATAATCTCTTTATTGTAGGAAATATGTGTTTAATTTAAATGGATGCAGGTTATCTGTAAAGACCACTTAACTACGCAAACTCTTAAGTAATAAATTGAAGCCAAGGTGCAGCTACAAACTCCATGAAGCAGTTCATACACTAAACAGTTTGTTTTTTTTTCCCAGCATGAGGACCCCAGCCTCTGCCTGTCAGGTCATCACCCTGATGGTCAGTTTTCTGTTGGAAGCACCGACTTGGTCTCTAACTCCCCATCACTGTGGACTGCTGAATTTAATCTTATTGTTTGTGCTCAACTTTTGTGTGCTCTTAAAAACAGCTTTATTGTAAGCAAATGCATCTACTTAAAAACTTAATGAGAAAAAAAAATCTTTGCCAAATCCTTATAAAATATTTAGATATAACTGAGTGTTGAATGAATAGAACTTCTCATTCCCAGAACATCGCTGCTTCTTACCATGAAACAAGGGAAAGAAAGACAGGGCTTTGGCAGGATGTGGATCAGGAGCTCAATCTTGGCAGAACTGAGCTTGGGGCTGGGTAACGCCTGTGAGAAGGGGCTCCTAGGATGTTTAGTATTATAGTCCTTAGCTTTAACCCTCTACCCATGAGATGCCAGGAGCATCATCCCAACGTTGTAACAACCATAAGGATGTCTCTAGACATTGACAAATGCCCGGTCAACCTCTCCACCCCTACAACCAGTGTGGACAGTGATGGCCTCATAAGTGAGACTCAGGTATAAGTAAGCCTGACTCAGAGTCCATAAGAGGATCCAAGAAAAGGCATGTTCTTTCCCTGGCTGACTCCAGGGGAGCAAGCTAAACAGACTGTGGCAGAGCTGGGCTGGCACTGGGAACATACCTCTGACCTGAACTAACTCATGCAAGTCCAGGTTGGCTGCAGAAGTCTACCATCACACAGCGCCACCTTACTCCTCCACCAGCATGGCCCTTTAGCATCACTAAACATTATTTCTCTTGTTTTGCTTTTCCCTTGGAGTGGTCACAGTGTTTCTCTACTGCCCAAACTTCCTCTCTGTGCCTCTTGGACAGACCTGTTTTGAAGTCCCAGTTGTCAGCAGACCCTGGGCACACCAACTGCATCTTGAATCCATCAGCCCCTAAAGCCAAGATCCCCATTCTTCCATGGTGGCCACATTGCTCAGCCACAGAGTAAAGAGTAGCAGATCAGGTTAGGGTCACAGAGTGTTCAAGAAAGACCAACCTCACGTCTTAGATTTTTAGTACAAGGTCATTACACAAGGGCTCTTACAACCTCCTATCCAATTTTAAAACTCTTAATCATTTCCCAAGTCCAAAATGGTTGAGTAAAAGTGAAAACTCAGTATTCACAGCTCACAAACAGATCATGTTCCAAACCAGTTGTTTGGGGAACACAACACGGTCTCCTTAGAAACAATGCGCTAAGGAATGGTGATACCAATTTGCATTCATGTAGGACATTTCCATTTACAAAGTACTTTTGGGTCCATTATTTCATTCAATCCATGAGACAGCACTGCGAAATATTCAGGGATTATAGTTCCTATGCTCATAAAAATGTGCTTCACAGGGATGCATGAGAAGCTATCTATAGAGGGCTGCTGGCTCATACTACTCTTCATGGGCAGATGACCTAACCACAGGGACAACATGACTCTGTGGGAAACATCCACAGTTCCCAGGGCACCGTTGGTATGCCAACTGCTGTTCGCCCAGTGATTCTCTCCTTCCTTTTTTCTTGTCATGTGGACTTGTATCATCTAGAACTTCATCCAAGTCATTGGATGAATAATGAGGGCAGGCTCAGGCCAGAGTCCTGGGGTCCCCTCCTGACCACCTCCCCGAGGGCCTCAGACCTCGTTCATGCCTGGTGCATCACCTGTCTAAACCACGCGTCAGCCTCTCTTCCCTTTACCCTGCCCCCTCCAAGTCAACGCTGTTGCGGGAGACACACGACACCCAGGGCATGAGATCCAGGAGGGTGGACCTACAGCAGGGAGGGGGCAGGAGAAACCGAGGCAGCACTGTGAGGAGGAACAAGCCCCTAGAGAGGATAGAGAGAAGGTGCCCTCAGCCAGCAGTTGTCCTCATCTCTGGCCTCTACTGGCCCCCTACTATAGGAACCAACTGCTGGAGGGGAGAGAAGAGGGCGGCCCCACAAGGCAGCTGGCTTGAGAAGCAGGGAAGAGGGAGGAGGGGAAAATGCAGTAGCAGGACAAGGGAAAGGGAGGAGGTTGGGGCCACAGTCTGGGTGGTGAAGGCAGGTGCATTTATTTTGCTAAGTGACATGGGCAGTGGAACTCTAAACCAACGCTTCTCAGACTACAGAAAGGACAGGCTTGCGTGATAACCATAGAGATTCCTGACCACCACCCCAGAGAACCTCACCCCACCCCGAGAGTCAAACTCCTGGCTCAGGATCAAGAGGATCTAAGGACTGGCATCTGGGAAATGCTGCCCTAGATCTTGCTGCCCCTGGAGGCCACACCCTCTATAGATGTCATCTCTCTGTTCCCTGTTTGCTGGGGCAGATGATGGCTGTCTTCCAAGCAGACTGTGAGCTATAGTTTATCCGCATGGGGACACAGCAGGGTTTAGTTATATTCCAGGAACAAGTCCCTCACTTGTTTTGTGTGATTTATATTTTAAAAACATCCCAGGACTAACACATAGAGGTCACTTCACCCCAGCCTTGCAAGTGCTGCTCAGAACACTGCTGGGGTTGTCCTTGGGCTGGATACACTCTTTGGAACGGATCCAGGGTGAGAAATACATCCTTGTAGACTGTACTTGATAAGGGAAAAGAGCCAGAAAACCACTTGGCACCAGGTCTGAGGACTGACTCAAGTGACCCAGCAGGGAAGTCCCACTGGAGTCTGAGGCTAAGGTGATGACACTGAATGCCTAAAATCTTGGCAGGACTTGAGAAAAGTCTCTTTGAACAGACTGCAAAAAAGAGTTCCAATTCTGTCCCAGCAAGAGCAACACGGAGGTCAGAACCCACTTGACAGGCACCTTGGCTTCAAAACTGTACCCACCCTGGTTTCTAATGTTGGGCACTTATTCCTCCTCCCCAATTAGGTGCAATCTCTATACCCATCCATGGAGGAGGAGGAGGAAGAGGGGATTGCTATGAGGATGGGCAGCCCCGGGCAGGGACTCACCTTGCCAGTGATGCTTGTAGTCACACATGCGGGACAGCGCGATCATCATGGCACAGTACAGGGGCAAGATGGCGGCACAGAGCCGCCAGCTCTTCCCCCGCCCACTCTCGGTGAAGCAGTGCAGCTTGCCCGCCAGGTAGAATGTCGTGAAACCAAGGCCCGAGAAGGCAACTGCCAAAGAAAAACAACAGGTGTTACTCCAGTAGGTGGAGAGTGGCAAATTCTCCTGGGCATCCTGTCTGCCATCCTAGGGCCAAGCCGTGGTGGCAGCCTCTAGGCAGCTCACACTCCTGCTGTGACACTGGAACAGACTTCCAATCACGAGGCTGGACTTCTAGGCCTGCAGGTGAGCACCTGCTACATTTTACTCACTCACTGGACAATGGTTTAGTGGGTATCCAGTGTGTGCCGGGCAGGCACTGTGCTGGGTGGGAGGGATAAAAAGAAGCAAGAGATGCTCTCTGCCCTCCAAGGGCTCAGATTATGGTGGAAGGACAGTGGTCATCCTGATGGGTAATTCTAATATAAAGTGTTACACTCTACAAGAAAAGAAAGTGCATAAAGAACAAAAGACTTGGAGGACTGCTTAGATTTGAAAGGTAAGGGAGAGTTGGGACAGAGATGAGGCCCAGATTTTTGGTTAGGGAGACAGTGTGCAGTGGTGGCGTTCATGAAGATGGTACTTGGAATGCTATGGAGGAGCAGAGCTTGATGGAGAAGCCAGTGAGACAGATCTTGTTTTCTCATAGAAATAACAGCCGTTGTTTCTTGGCTATGCCAAATCCATTGTCAAAAGCATGAAGGCTGGGGATAGCCCGAGACTGCCATCTAGTCATCTGCAGAAATGTGGATGAAAGGACATGGTGTTACATGCAATGGGCCAGGGACAGAAAGAGATACCACATGTCCTCCCCACATGTGGAAGCTATGAAGTTGATCTCACAGATCAGAGAGGCTAGGGAGGGCAGCGGGGAGGAGGTAGAGAGCTTGGATACTGGGCACCAAAATACAGTTAGATAGGAGGAATTAGTTCTAATGTTCTATAGCACAGTAGGGTAACAACAGTCCACAACAATCTTATATTTCAAAATAGCCAGAGGTGTCTAAAGTTTCCCAAAAAAACGAGAAATGTTTGAGGAAATGAAATGCTAATTCTCCTGATCTTATCATCACATATTATATACAAGTATCCAATTATCATATTCCACCCCATAAATCTTGACAAATACTATGTGTCAGTTAAAAACTAAGAAAAAGAGCAGCTGGAAAAAAAAACACAGCTGGAGCTCAGTGCCATTTCAGGTTGGTTTCTGAGAGCTTAGAACAGTGGTCCTCAACCCTGGCTGCACATGGTGTCACCTTCAATACCTTTACCATCCACTGGTAGCCAGGTGCCACTGTGAGACATTCTGTCTGTAGTGGTCCTGAGTGGCCCCTGTTGTGCATGTGTGAATGCAGGTGTGTGCAGGAGCGTGCAGCTTCCCAGGTGGCTCTGATAGCAGTCATGACTGAGCCTAGAAACTTCCATTGAAGCCAACTGCTGCAGCTTCTTGGCTTCTCTGGACACCAGACTACCCCAAACTTGCCCCTTGATTAGAAAATCTTCCTGAGAGGAAAGAGCTCACAGGTAACCAGCTCACACAGCAACTTGGTAAATCAGCTCTTTCAAGGAGTCAGTACACCAGCAATTTAAGGACTGCCCAAAGCCTGGGCCACAGCCAGGAATCCTGCAGCGTCTTGGTGAAGATGCAGACTCTCAGGCTCACTCCAAACGACATCTGTGTTGCACAATATCCATTAGCAATCTGTGTGCACACTGCAGTCTAAGAAAACTTGGCTTAGAACACATCTGTCATCTGCATAAGAGAGCTCTAAGATCTACCTTGAGGTAACAGTGTACACTATGGGGGAAATCTGGAAGGTGCTCTGCCCAAAGTTCTCTACAAACATGGAAACCTGGAAGTGATGGTTACAGAAGCACAGAGAAGCCAGCTGTGGCGTTTCTATCCAATGGACTCTGAGGCCACCATGAAATTCGAGATTGAGTAGCAATATGGCCAATACCTAGGGTACAATGTTCGGTTCAAAGGCAGGATTTTAAGTTGTAGGGCCAAGATTTTTATGACTACAGTACGTAATAATGAACAGCCTGCAGCCTTTCCAAATTATCTCTGACAATAACAGATCTCAAACGACACCTTGGATATAAATATAAGCTTATGCCAAAGCAGAACTTCTTCAGTCCCAGAAGTAATAAGGTCACAGTGCAGCTTTCCTCCGCACCTTTTGGTTGGTTTAATTATTTGGTTTTTTTTTTTACCATTTCATTGTGTTGACACCTCCACAGCTGTAATTTTTAATTATAATTATTAGCACATATTAATTGTATAAAATAACTGATTTCTTTGTGACATTTTCATACATCCTTATACTTTGATTGTGTACACTTTTTTGAAATAGAAGCTAAATTAGGTTTATCCTGGGTATAAAAATGAAGCAAAAGCAAGAAAATGAAGGAGGTATTGGTGACCACGTGCACCAAAGCTCTTCTGAACAGTGGCCAGCACTCAGTCAGCAAAGTGGTGCCAACATACATTGAGGACTGTGCTTAGAAAGAGCCACGAGGCACTGCACTGCCCAGCCCTGTTCTAGAAGGCTTCTGGGGCGGAAGCGTATGAAGTGATTTATGTGGTGTGGCCCCGTCTGGCGCCATCTTGGCAGGTACAATGGCTTCTGAATTCCCATCCACATGTACTTTGCTTCCTTCCTTCTCTTTACCCACATTCTCCCAGGAGGTGTCAGAGTGGAAGAGGAAGGGTACACAGTTGGCTCTGGTTGGTACTGGCCCCATCTTGAGCTCTCACAGGAGGAATAATAGACTTTATTCAAATTAGATGGATTAGCAAGTCTATCTACCTAGGTACACTAAGTGTGGGGAGTAGAAAAGCCCAGGGCTTTGCTGGGTTATAGATTAAAGTCTCCAAGATTGGAATCTCCAAGAGAAGAAGCAGCTGTGGGGGTTGCCAAATTGGCATCTGTCAAGAAAACAAACAGACTTTTTTAAAAAGTCAATGAACACAGAGTGGATCTGAACATGAATTTGTCTTGTGTTCCCATAAAAAATTGACCTGGAGACTTTAAGACAGAAGAGTCATCAACTCAAGCAACCAATTACCACTTCTGGATACCTTCAGGGGATGAAGCAGGGGAGGGGTGCTTGGCCTGTGGAGAGAGACCATCCCAGCCTCCTCCTGGCCCCTGCTACCCTGGGGACTCTCAGCTGGCCGGCTCTGGCCCCACTTTCCCTCATATGTTTTGGAGCTCAGGTCTAATATGTTCTCTCTGGCATGGTGGGAGCTTGCATGAACACCACAGCCCCTCCACATCCTGGAAGTCTCTGCTTCCCTGAAGAGGAGGAGATTCCAGCCTTGCTTGATGGCTGAATGCAATGGCTGGGAGCCTGTGGGCATCTGGAAACAGCCAGTCTTCTTCAACACATGCTCTTGGCCTTTGGACAATATTTCCAAAGCACTGCTCTGTGCCCTTATTTTTCTAGGTGACAGGATGAAGCTCCAATTTCATGCTAAACCTTATGCTTGTCACTTTCTTGCTGACATTTATACAGTTATTGAACATTCACAAT